GTCCTCTTGCCGGCTGTCAGCAGGGGGTTTCCCTAATACCTCGGGCACCCACGTTCCTTCTCACACGGCCCTCCACCTTCAAGGCAGCAATGGTCCGCCCGGTCCCTCTCCCACTCCCCGTCTCTCCTCTCCATCTCCACCAGCCAGAGGAAGCTCGCAGCTTTTAAGGGCTGGTGTCTTCCTGCCTTAAGGTCAACAGCCTCATTCAACATGACACAACCACAGGAGCGATGCCTCATCGCAGCCACGGTTCACAGGGCGACAGGAAGCGAGGGATGGGGCAGGGAAGGACCACTCACCATCAGGCCTGTGTGACGTCTGGGGACAGGATGGAGCCGGAAGTGGAACAGGCCCAAGACACTTGGAGGAGACTTCTTTCTAGAACTGAACCCCCGAAATCGCTTTTTAAAAATAGCTTAAGCCTGGCCGGTGTGGTTCAGTGGTTGAGCATCGACCTGTGAACCAGGAGGTCACCGTTCGATCCTGGTCAGGGCACATGCCGGGGTTGCAGGCTCGATCACCAGTGCAGGGCATGCAGATCAGTGATTCTCCCTCATCATTGATGTTTCTATTTCTCTCTCTTTCCCTTCTGGCCTGAAATCAATAAAAAAATAAATTTAAAAAAATAGCTTAAGATATCAGGTACAATTGACATGCAATAGACAGCACCTATTTAAAGCATACGCTTTGATAACTTTTGACACATGGATACATTCATGAAAACGTCTTCACACACAGGGGGGTGACCATGTGAAGACACCAGGTGAAGGTCGGTCTACAGGCCAAGGAGAGCAGCCTGAGAGGAAGGAGACCCATGGATGTCTTGATCTCGGACTCCCAGCCCCCAGAACTGTGCGAAAACCAATGTCTGTTGTTCAAGCCACTGGTCTGCGGTACTTGGTCACAGCAGCCCGAGCAAACTAACACAAGTGTGTCCTTTTCTCTGACTTACCTCATTCAGATAATTGTTTTGAGATGAACATGTCTGTGCACCCATCAGCAGTCCATTTCTTTTTCTTGTTGAGCGACATTCCATCGTATGGATATCCCACAATTTATTTACCCATTCATCGGTTGGTGGGCATTTGGGGTTTTTCCAGTTTTTGCTTATTATAAGTAACTAGAGTCCCAGTGCACAAAATTTGTGCACAGGGGGAGGGGAGTCCCTCAGCCCTGCCTGCACCCTCTCATATCCAGGATCCCTCTCGCAATCCAGAACCACTGGCTCCTAACCACTCACCTGCCTGCCTGCCTAATCGCCCCCTAACTTCCCTCCCCTGCTGGCCTGATCCCCCTAACTGGTCTCCCCTGCTAGCCTGATCCCCCTAACTGCCTAACTGCCACCTTCTCCCTTCTCCCTTCTCCCTTCTCCCTTCTCCCTTCTCCCTCCTCCCATGCTGCCATCTTCTCCCTTCTTCCTTCTCCTGTGGCACCTTCTCCCGCGGCCTCTGCAAAAGGGACCACGGTGCTGGACCGGCCCTCACAGCTGTGGCTGCCAGCCCTTGGCCATTTCAGCTGCTGTGGCTTTGTCTGGAAGGACCTCCAGAAGGATGTCCAGAAGATGTCTGGTCTAATTAGCATATTACCCTTTTATTAGTATAGATGTTCCCGTGAACATTCATATGCAAATCTGTGTGTGGATATATATTTCCTTTTCTTTAGGGTACATGTTTAGGATTAGAATGGCTGGGTCCTATGGCTGTTGTGTGTTTAATTTTTTTTTTTTAATATGAACGCTTCACGAATTTGTGTGTCATCCTTGCATGGGGGCCATGCTAATCTTCTCTGTATCGTTCCAACGTTAGCGTGTGTGCTGCCAAACTGGTATAAAAGCTATGTTTAGCTTTTATAAAAGCTGCCAAACTGGTTTCCAAAGTGGCCATACTACTTTGCGTTCCCACCAGCGATATATGAGCGTTCCAGTGGCTCCACATCTTTGCCAGGACATGGCCGGGTCAGCCTTCTTCATGCTAATCATTCTAATAGCTGTGCGGCAATATCTCAGTGTGGCTTTAATGTGCATTTCCCTCATGACTAATAAAGCATTTTCTCATATGTTTATAGGCCATCCAGAAAGGAACATACAGCTTATTAAACAAAATAAGCATCTGTTTGTTCAAATATTTGGCCTATTTTTTTTAATGGGTTTTCTTGCCCAGCCAGTGTGGTTCAGTGGTTTAGTGTCAACCCATGAACCAGGAGGTCATGGTTCCAGGAGATCATGGTTCAATTCCTAGTCAGGGCACATGTCCAGGTTGCCAGATCGATCCCAGTAGGGGGCGTGCTGGAGGCAGCTGATTAATGTCTCATCATTGATGTTTCTATCTCTCTCTCCCTCTCCCTTCCTCTCTGAAATCAATATCATATGTACTGTATACTAGAGGCCCGGTGCATGGATTCGTGCACTGGTGGGGCCCCTCGGCCTGGCCTGCGGGGATCGGGCCAAACCAGCTCTCCGACATCCCCCAAGGGGTCCTAGATTTCGAGAGGGCACAGGCCAGGCCAAGGGACCCCACCGGTGCATGATCAGGGCTGGGGAGTGACCAAGGGAGGGCTCCAGAGCGTGTCTGGCCCGTCTTGCCCAGTCCCGATAGGCCGGACCCCAGCTGCAAGCTAACCTACTGGTTGGAGCATCTGCCCCCTGGTGGTCAGTGCGTGTCATAGAGACTGGTTGAACGGTCGAACGAATGGTTGGACACTTAGCATATTAGGCTTCTATTATATAGGATATATTTTAAAACACATTAAATGGGTTTTCTTATAGTTAACTTTTCAGAGTTCTTTATATATTTTGAATACAACTCCTTTATCAGATATATGATTTGTAAATATTTTAAACAGTCTGTGGCTTGTCTTCAGTCTCTTAACAGTGTGTTTTAAAAAAAAAACAACACCAGATTTTCATTTGAATTAAGTCCAATTTCTATCAATTTGTTCTTTTATGGACTGTGCTCGTGGTGCCATTTCTAGGAATTCATTGCCTAAACCAATGTTACAAGGCTTTCTCCTGGGTTTTCTTCTAAAAGTTTTATATGATTCGGTTTTACATTTCCGTCTGTTTGGAGTTGATATTTTTATATGATGCAAGGACAGATCAAGGTTCTTTTGCAGGGTGTGTGTGTGTGTGTGTGTGTGTGTGTTTGTGTGTGTGTGTATGGATATTCAGTTGTTCCAGAACATTTGTTGAAATGACTGTTCTTTTTCCACTGACTTGCCTTTGAACCTTTGTTGAAATCTGTTGTCCGTATTTGTGTAGGCCTATTTCTGGGCTCTCTATTCCATTCCGTTGATCTGTTTGCCTTTCTTACACCAGTACCACCCTGTCTCCATTACGTAGCTTCACACGTCCTGAAATCAGGGCGTGTGAGGCCTCCTCCTCCTTTGCTCTTCGTTTTCAAAGCTGTTGGGCTAGTGACTAGCCGCTAGTCTGTGTCCTTTGCATCTCCTGTTAATTTCAGAATCAGTTTGTCGATTTCTATCCAAAAAAGAAGCCTGCTGACATTTTGACTGGGATGGCATAAACTCTATAGATCAATTTGGGAAGAACTGACACCTCAAACATCTAGTTTAAAATTTGAGATATAAGTAAAAAAGAAAAAAAAAAGAAGAAACAAAAAAAATTGAGATATAAGTCACATACCATAAAAGTCCCCATTTTAAAGCGTACTATTTAGCCGTTTCTGGAATATTCACAAGGTTGTATGGCCATCAACACTATCAAATTCCAGAACATTTTCTTCACCCCTAAAAGAAACTCTGACCTAATGGGCCCACCCTCCCGCCCTCCCTCCCCTAGTCCCTGGCAGCCGCTCATCTACTTCCTGTCTCTATGAATTTGCCTACTCCGGACATTTCCTATCAATGGACTCATCCGACATGAGACCTCCCAGGTCTGGCTCCTTTCACTCAGCATAATGTTTTCAAGGTTCACCCAGGTCATAGCAGACATCTTAAAAGTATTGCGTCTACAGCACCTGAATAAATAGATAAAAATACTGGCCTGGGACACTCTGCAGAAATTGCTTCTGAGAATTAAAGCCCTGAAATCACCTTTTGAAACTATATATATTTGCTTATTCTTCCTCAGAGTAAACCATGTAATTAATTTCCAAATGGCTGAGGGGCCGGCTGGCTGGAGTTTGCAAAATCATTGACGGTGGGAATAGACGGGAAACTTGGAACTTACGTCGTCGAGCGGTGGCAAACCAGTGGCCCCGGGGCCACCGTGGCAGGCAGATGTGTTTGTGTGGCCCGTACAGGATGTCCTTCATATGTGAGCCAGCACTTCAGAATTTGGGGGTTTTCACCAAAATTTCTTTTAAAAATCAGATGTCTGGCAGGCCGGGCTCACTCCCCACCTGCTGGTGATGGGCTGGTGAGGAAAGGAACCGCGTGTCCAGGTCTGCTTGCCCACCGCCCCCCAGGGCACCTGTGCCCTCACACCGCCCCCTTCGCTCTCAGATTACCTGCCGGGCCTGTAGGCTGTTGACCTTCATCTGCCCCCAGGAGTCCAATCTATTCCTGTTGTAGATACGCCCTGGGAAGCTCTGCGATTTTCCCAGGGGCCAGCGGGGAGTTAGAGGCAAGTCCCCGGTGCTGCCATTGGATGCTGGGCTTTTCCCTCCTCTGTGGGCATCCCCACCCGCTAGGGTGACCAACACGTCCCGGTTGGCCGGGGACTTCTCCAGGTTGAGAAGGTAACGCCCCGTCGCCTGGGACCCTCTCAGTGCCTGGCAAACAGGTCAGTTCCTCTTTCTCTCTCTCACTTCCCCCCCTTTTCCCACCAAAAATAAATAAATTACATTAAAACTGTTTATATCTATATTATTTTTTAATTCATTTCAGAGAGGAAGGGAGAGGGAGAGAGAGAGATGGAAATATCAATGATGAGAATGATGGGAGAGAATCATGGATTGGCTGCCTCCTGCACACCCACTACTGGAGATTGAGCCCGCAACCCCGGGCATGTGCCCTGACTGTGACCTCCTGGTTCATAGATTGACGCTCAACCACGGAGCCATGCCAGCCAGGTTAAAAAAAATGTTTTTAAAAAAATATGTTTTAAGCCGGGTTTTGCTGACCTAGGATTTCATCTTTCCTCCAGCCTGTTTGCTGGGCCAGACACTGTAGTTGTCAGCACCTCCGTCCCTCGTTTCTCTCTCCTAGAGGGGCGTGCGCCACCCTCAGGGCAGTGGCTGGGTGGGACTCGCCATCCAGGTTTGCTGGGGCCCAGCACCTGGCCCCAGGCCTGGGGACACCTGGCCCAGGAAGGGACCCCAGCCCAGCTGACAGCTCACGCCTGGGCCTGGCTGCCAGATGGCAGCGCCCCCCTCTGTTTATGATTAGGTGGCTGACGGCGCGCAGAGCCCGGCGAGCCAACGATGAAAGCTGTGAAAAGAACATTGTTATACGACTTTTCATAGTTTCCCAAGTCAGCATTACCCTCGCTGCTGCTTGAATTACTAATGCCTTGGAAGGGGAGGCCGAAATCTGTTCCCAAACAGACTTCTCTTTTTCCCCCGGTCACCTAGGCGCTGCGCATTGTTGTGAACTGTTTTCCCGGCTCATCTGTCCTCGCCGCTCTGCTCTGGATGGACGGAGTGATCTTGGCACCGTGAGCCGGATGCGCACAGTCGCCTCATTGCAGCTCCTCACCGGCAGGCAGGTGACGCCCGAGCCTGTGATGTCCCTGCCTCAGCCCTCTGATCCTCTCCGCTGTGCACAGGCAACTTCAGATGCGCTACCCCCAGGGACCCTTCCCTTCTCCCCGGGCCTCCTGGACACGCCAGGCAAGGGCCTGGGCCCAGAGGGCTCTGGTCCTCGCCGCCTTTATTGCTGCTTCTAAGAGCTGGTACACAGATGGTTTGGTTTAGAGGAACTATGCAGCCAGGGTTATTAAAAAGAAAAAAGGAAGGAGAGCGAGGAATGAAGAGAGGAAAGGGAACGGCAGGAAGGCTTGTCCGCAGCAGGACGGTGACAGCTCGTAAATCCCCGCACGCAGTTCCACGCGTGCCTCTGCGGGGGCTGTACCGTCCTCATCGTCCTCACCGAGCCCCCGGTCCCTAAGGAAGCTCAAACAAACCATCTGCTGTAGAAGACACACTGCAGCCTCCTCGCATCGGGGACACTCTGGTCAGATGAGCCTGGTGACCCTCGGGGCAGAGGAGGCATCATTGGTCTCTGTCCTTTGGTGAGGCTGGTCACCCAATAGCTGGCCACGGAGGAGCTGACCCAGCTGTAACAGGGAGGAAGGATCAGCAATCTTGGCGGTCTCCCTGGAGGAAGAGGAACCGAGACCAAGGATTGCCTGCGGGGTAGAGAGAGCGTTGGGGCGAGGGCGTGGCCCTGTACCTGGTGGTGACCTCCGCCAGAATAAAGCTGCTGGTCCCCTTGGTCCTGAGACCCTCCTGCGAGAAAAAGTCCAGGCCGTGTGATCTCGGATTGAACCACAGGAGGAAGACTCAAGCAAGGAGGGGGCAAAGGTGCCTCCTACACACTAGAAACCGCCTTCCCACACTCGGCATCTCCCTGAGGGTGGCACCAGGGGCCAGGACTCCAGGGGCGGGGGGGTGGGGGTCACTAAGGAAGAAGAGAGGGTTGGGGGGTGGCGCTGTGTTCTCGTCAGCAACATCATATTCCTGTCCAGCTCCGGAGGGAGCCTGTCCCACATCTGAGAGAGAAAAGCCACGAGAGGGCGAAAGAAAGGAAATGTAACTCTGGGCCCCAGCTGGTTTGGCTCAGTGGCTAGAGCGTCGGTCTGCGACTTAAGAGTCCTGGGTTCGATTCCAGTCAAGGGCACATGCCCAGGTTGCCTGCTCGATCCCCAGTAGGGGGCGTGCAGGAGGCAGCCAATCAACGATTCTCTCATCATTGATGTTTCTCTTTCTTCCTCTCCTTTCCTCTCTGAAATCAATTTTTTTTTAAAAAAGAGTATAGCTTTGAAACCAGAACTTGAGTCCCGGCTCTATTATTTTAAAAAAATAAAAATAAATAAGAAACATTTAAAAAAGAAAAGAAATGTAGCTCCGGGACCTATAAGCAACTGGAAAGAGCAAGGGTTCCACGGGCGGGGTCTGGGACAAGTGTCCCAAAGGGGCGGGCAGAGCCTCCCGTCTCGTACCTGCGCAGACGCAGGAAGAAGATGCGGGGGCCACCGGCGATGCCAGCTCCAGGCCAGCGCAGGGCGGGGCCCGCAGACCTGGGCTTGGCCAGCTTGTCCCGAGTCCAACAAAGTAAGTACAGAGACCAAGAGCAAGCCCTGAGCAACTCCCGGGTGCCTTTCCCCTTGTTGGGTGTGTCCTGTTCTAGTTTATGAAATGCAGCTCTGTGACCATCGCACCTAAGAAGAAGAAAGAAGCGCAGGCAGAATACAGTCCGCCCTCCCTCCTCACCCCCGGGTTCGTGGAGCAAAATGTTTCAGAAAGAAAAGGTGACGTGGCTGCTGCGTGCACCAGGCCCTGAGGCCACAGGGGTCCCGTCTGTGGGGAACAGGTACAGGCCTCTGATTCTTGTCGTTATTCCCTAAACAATACAGCGTAACAGCTGTTTACCCAGCACCTCTATTGTATTGGGCACTAGGGTTAACGAGAGGTGGTTTCAGGCAGACAGGGAGGTGGGGGCGGGTTATGTGCAAATACTGTCATTTTATTACCGGACTCGAGCATCCTCGGATGTTGGTATCCGAGGGGGGACGGAAGGGCTGGGACCAATGCCCCTCGGATACGGAGGGACAGCTGTTCTCTGCAAGGCCCTTGCTTCTCCTCTTCCGTCTTCCCGGGAGGTCCTGGTCCCGTATCTCACCAAGGCAGCGGTCTGCCCGGACTGTTAGACGCAGGTTTTTCTCTGCAGGGAGTTTGAGACTCTCAGGCCCAGAGAATGTAAAGCACCAGCAACGGCTCCCCCTCCTGATCCTGGGACAGGAAGCGAGGGAACCTGCCCCGCCGGGCGCAGGCCCGCCCACACCACGGGGACACTGCTGCATCCCCTGTCTGCACCGACCAGGCATAAACACAGGGGCAAGGGAGCCAGCCCTGCAGTGGGGAGGCCCACTGGCCTGCAGAGAGGGGGTGGGAGCCCGGGCCCTGCTAGGAGAAGCCAGGGCTCTGGAGGCCTCCCTGGGGGGCTTCTTACGACTCTGGGGTCCCCCTCCTTTCCCCTTCCCTGTGCATCGGGTAGAGACGAGCCGGGGAAGTCCCGGTTATGCCACCCAAGGAAGAAGGATGCTGTGCCTTTTTGAAAAATCAAAATCACACACCCCCCCCCCCCTTCTATGCATGCCTCCCGGCCCCTGTCTTGATGCCGTGTGGCCTGTGGGACGGGGAAGGTGCCTTCTGGTCGGCTCTGTTCGCTCCTCCCTGGAGCTGGCGGTGGGAGAAGCCACTCGGATCTCAGAAGCTAAAAGTGCTGTTGGCTTCAACCCAAGAGAGGACATGGTTAGGATTCGTGTGTAGGAAGTACAAAAACAGGCCAAACTACGCTGGCTGTGACCTGCCGGGACCGTGGTTACCCTGTGGGTATGGCTACGAGGCCTGGGGACGGGGGCCTCCAGGGCTGCCCTGTGCTGTTTATGGACCTGGGCCCAGGAAAGGGTGCGCTAGGCCTGTGGGGGGAATTCTGCCCTTAGGGTTTGCACACATTCTTCACGTAGATTAAGCTCCAATAAAACGTTTGAAACCCCTACTGGCTCCAACGATAACGACAGAAACGAAATAAGATGTTGGGACAGAGGGCCTGCCTGGCTGCTCCGCGTGTGTGAAAAGTGCTGAGTCGCAGGAGCACAAACAGGAGAGGCTGCGATCTGGTGTTCCGTCACTGTTTTCCCAGGTGGTTGGGGGTGGGGGGCGGTTGACTCACTCTCTTGTTCCCCCTCCTGCCCTCGTCCCCATCGAGTGGGGCTGGAGGGGGTCCAAGGGCTGGGAGATTTGGGCTGTTGCCTTGGTAACCTTTAAATATTGGCTTCAAGTCATGATGGTAAAAAAAAAATAAGCAGGAGGTTTGAAGAGCTCACCGTGGCCCCGCCCACAGCTCTAGGTCCCCAGTCGAAGCCCCCAGGCAGGGAAGCGGGTAGCTTTCTCCCGGGAGACGGGAGACGCAGGCCAGGTGGGGGGCTGCAGGGACCCATCCTCCAGGGTCCATGTCCCATCTAGGAGTCCCCTAAAGCCCTTGCTCCCGGTGATCTGGCAACTGTGGCCAAGAACCCAAACCCAGAACCTGGGGAAGCTCTCTCCATCCCGGAAGGCGGTGGACACGGGGGAGTTGGTTGCGCTCACTGCTGTCCGCAGCCGCTGTCCACAGCCCTGTGCGCCTCCAGGAGGTGGGTTCTCCAGACAGGAGCCACGATGCCCTGACTTGGGGCCACATCCAGAGCCCGGGAGCAGGAAAGGAGCTTCCAGCAGCCAGGAAGAGAGCACTGGCCCAGGGGGTAGCACAGAGCCTTCCCCAGGTCAACCTCAAATCAACCCTGGCTCTGTCGCCACGGAGCCCTCTCACTTGGAAGTGCAGAGCGAGCCCTTAACCCCTCTGGGCCTCAGTTTCCCCACCAGTAAGCCTTGTTTGTATAGCGTCCAGCCTGGGCACAAACCCCTTCGGAGCCTATTCCAGCCGGCTGTCCGGTGCAGCCGTGGCAGACGCACCGGTGGCCCAGGGTTCACGCCTGGCCCGTTCCAAACGCATCCAAATCATAAGCCTCTGCAAAGGCCTTGGCTCGGAAGGTCTGCTGGTCCCGCTGTGCGCACAGGGGAGGGTAGCGCAGGCTGGGGTGGGGACAGCTCCCTCTGGGCAGCGTTGAGGCATTGGGCGGAGCTGGGAGGGGCCCTGAGTAAGTGACAACCAGCATTAGGTCACGGCTGTGCTGCCCCCGGGGTGCAACGTGTCAGCAGCAGCCACGGGCCTGCTGCGCGTGATTCATGGCGTGAGCATTCCTCCTGCAGCCCGCAGCCCTCCGCCTGCAGCCGCCTTCCCAGGCGACTCCTTGTTCTCGCTCCTTCCAGGCCGTGTTCCAGGGCTCCAGCCTCGGGCAGCTGGGGGGCGGTGGGGTGAGACAGTGCACCATCTGGGGGCCCTGGGGGTGCTCCTTCCACACGCCGGTCCTCTCCAGGCCCACCGGCAGCACAGTGATGACAGTGGCTGTCCACGGAGCACCTGCTATGGGCTGTGTCTCTGATGCTTTAGGACAGTGGTTCTCAACCTTCCTAATGCCGCGACCCTTCAATACAGTTCCTCATGTTGTGGTGACCCCCAATTTCATTGTTACAAATTGAACATAATTAAAGCATAGTGATTAATCACAAAAACAATATGTAATTATATATGTGTTTTCCGATGGTCTTAGGCGACCCCTGTGAAAGGGTCGTTCGACCCCCAAAGGGGTCGCGACCCACAGGTTGAGAACCGCTGCTTTAGGAGGTACCTGCCCTCTGTTTCGTTCCCCAGGGCTGCCCATCGCAAATGACCACAAACTGGGTGGCTTAAAGCAACAGGAACCCGTCCTCCCACAGCTCAGGAGGCCAGAGGTGGGAGATCCAGCCGGTAGGTGCCCACTTCCTTGGCTCGTGGCCCCAGCACCCCCCCTCCCTGCCTCCATCCCCCCGTGGCCTTTGTGCGCCGTGTATGTCTCTATGCGTTGCGTCCTCTCCTTTTCTTACAAGGACACCGTCATTGGACTTAGGGCCCACCCGAAATCTGGGGTGATCTCACCTGAAGATCCTTAACTAACTACATCTGCCAAGACCCTGTCTCCAAAGCAGGTCACATTTCAAGGGTCTGCATGGGCATGAATTTGGGGGGCTCCTTTTTACAGATGAGGACACTGGGGACCAGTGAAGTGAAGCGGTTAGTCCCTGAGCTGGAGTAAGGAGTGGAATCAGGGTTCAAACCCAGGCCTCGGTGCCAGGACCCCCCACACTGTCTGCCAGAACCCAGCATCACAGGAATTGCTACCCCACCCTCCAGGCAAGAGGGGAAACCCTCAACCTCGAGGAGAAAAACAGGGTTGCCCTCTCACTTCAATTGTGCTCCAACCCCGGGGAGGGGGAGGGTTGTGAAATGGCTCCAAGAGGTTCTGACCCTGTGGCAGATGAGGGAGGGGAGAGCCAGGATCTGCCTCGTAAACAGGCCCTCAACCCCACTGCCCTGCAGGCGGGTCCAGGACCCCGTCCTGAGAATCCCGGAGCATCCCCGTCCTGAGACCAGACCCCGGCTGCGGTCAGCCTGTCCCAGCTCCAGGTAGGAACAGAGAGCACAGCCGAGCCCGAGGGACCGTCCCTGTGGCCACGCCAGCGAGCCAGCGCCAGGCCCGCGGGCACCAGAGGCCTCATCCCGCAGCAGCAGCTGGTGCCGAGCAGCCAAGGAGGAGGGTTTGGATCCAGCCTCCGATCCTGAAGGAGCCCGTGCGGACTCACTCTGGGAGAGCCCCTAGGCGGCTTGGGCTCTGCCCAAACCCCAGGCTGGAGGGTTCAGAAAGGCCCAGCGAGAGAGCCAAAACCCTCTTTCTCCTTTACGGCTGCAGCGCCAATGGCTCTCCCGCAAGCCCAGCCCTTTCTCACGGTGCCGATGGCATCAAGCGCGCATCCGCGTGCCAAGTGATGACGGAAACCCTCCCTCCGAGTGCTCCTGGCCGGCCTGTCGGGGCTGCAGCGGGCACCCTGCGTAGAGCGGTGCCCTTCCACCGCCCTGAGCCAGTACAGCTGGCAAACAGGACGCGCTTGGCATCTCCCTGGAGCCCCATCTACCAGGTCTCAGAAGGTACATGAGCTCAGCCTCTGGACCAGCCACCCAGGTCTCCAGCCCCTGCAGCGGGAAACGGACCTGCCAGTGACCAGGCCCGGAATCACCCCTGCTTCATGGTCCAATGAGAGAGAAGGGAGAGAGCAGGAGGAGGGGGAGGAAGGAAGGGGTCGCACGGCCCAGCAGCACCCCAGGATCCTGGGGGGCGGGCGTGTGGCGTGTTTTTATTTTTTATGGAGGTGAGACTCCTGTGAGGGAAAAGTAACCACTGTAAAGTGAACAACTCAGCGGCATTCAGCCCTTCACAGTGTTGGGCAACCACCACATCTATTTGGTTCCAAAACATTGTCATCACCCCCTTAACCGCTGCTCCCCAGCCCGCTTCCTCCCGGCCCCTGGCAGCCCCCAATAGCTCCCCTGCCCTTCGGATTTACCTATTCTGCACATTTCAAGTAAATGGGGTCTTGCAATGTGTATGTGACTGGAAGTCTGTTGCTTTTACCTACTCCACACCCATTTCCCCTTCTCCTGGTCGCAGCGCCTGCGTTTTACTTTGGGGAAGTCACCCCAACTCCCCTTCCTCAATCCATGTGGCTGCACCATCCCCTGCTCACAGGGGAGGGCACATGACCCGAGGCTTGCAAATCAGTCATGGTGATTGGTTCAGGGACGGGCTTGTGACTCAATCCCAGCCAATGAGAGCAGCTGCAGGACTTTTGCTAGAGCAGGACCCCCGCGCACCCTCTACTTGGCCCGATAAATCTGCAGAATGGGAGACTAGAGTTGCTGGCAGCCACCATTGCCACCGGGCGAGGAGTGCCCACCCGAGAATAAAACCTACCTGGGAGAAATCAGAGACAACTGGGAGGCCAGCTCTTGTCAGCACTGCCCGAGCGCCTGGATCCAGCTCTGCCTGAAGTTGACTCTATTCATCCTCAGACATTTCACTTTGGAAAGCTGGCCAGCCTTTTGTGCTCAAAGGAATTGGCGCTGGGTTTCTGTAATATGCAACTAAAAGGAACCCAAGCAATGCACGTGGCAGAGGGGACTCCATTTCACTCACCTGCTTTGGAATCTCCCCATCCCTGATGGAATGAAAAACAGCTCCTTA